CGAATGAAAATAACTGAATCTACTGATGAATTATTGTCATCGTAAAAAAAATATAAGGCAGCCGACAACACGATGCATATCGGTCAGTATGTATCAAATGACTGTCTTGATTTACGTGTATCTTGGCTATTCAAACTCCATATGCACGAACCGGGAATGACTAATGGTGCCAAAGAAACTCGGAATAGAGTGGCTTCAAAAGGGGTTGAAGTTGGGAGAATAAATAAAGGCAATTTCAGTGAGAACAGGCGCTCTATGACCAATACCAATAATTACAATTCTTTATAGATGGTTACTAGTGAGTAATGGAAATTTGACGGCATCTTGAACATACTCTACCACATCAGCTCCTCTGGCAGCCAATACTCTTCAATGATTCTTATTTTACTCGAACCATCATGGCGGTCTCCTTCTTACTCAGGATCATCACCAAGTAGCAATACTCAGAATAAATTGATTTCATATGTCATGTCATACAACTAAATGCTTTCCAGTTTATTTCCATATGAATAATCATCAACATCAAAATCTATAAAAAACGAAAACGATGTGAGGATATCAAAAGTGCTCATAATACATTCACAAATGAAATAAAGCACTGAAGAATTCAACAAAGTCCATCAAGTACACAATAAACGTTTAGCAGAAATCTATCAGATATATCTAAGTGAGCCTTATCGCACGCGGCATTAAACATTAAAACATCGTCATAATGACATATCAATATCTCCATTTCATTATGACGTTTCATAAAAATACGAATTTCACAAAAAGAAATAACAACAATTAAAAAAACATTGCCACAAAAACACCTCATTATAAACTATAAATCGACGTCATGTAAAACAGTCCAACTTATCAGATGCACCTCACTATTTTCATAAACAATCCAAAAAGCACAAACCATAACTTGCACGAAAACCGTTCTAATACAAAAATCGCAAGACATTGATCATATAAGAAAAAAAAACAATATATAAATGAAAACGAATATAAATAAAAAGTGAACAAAGAAAATAGCCGTATAATATTGGTGAATGGGCCAAAATCTGAGATACTTAAACAGCATCAAATATATCGAAAAGATTTAAACAACCAAATTCAAAAGGTTCCTCAACCTCCTAACAATATGCAAGTTCACTCTTCCAAACAGAACGAAACCATAAATCATATTTTCGGAACAGCTTTGGTTTGAACATAAGAGCACCTGTTAAATGAAAAATCCCGCATAAGCCTACCAGAGACAAAATTCAAATCAAACACTATACAATATTAAAGCAAAAACTTTAAAAAATTCCGTAGTAAAACCATCCTGACATTGTAAATGCAATAATATGCACACACAATTATTTATGCAAATATCAAAACTCAACAAAGAATAAATGTTTGTGACATCCCTTTTTTTGCTTGACATGCCAGTTATTGTTCATATTGTTCGGACGTGTCTTCCAGATGAATAATACCATCAAAAATACAATTAATAAAATCAGTTCCGTGTACAATTATGATTTCGCACCACGACCCCGGCCTCGTCCTCGACCAGAGCTCGCCGCACCTCTGCCCGTCGTTTTGGCAACAGCGTTCCCACCTCGACCCCCTCTTGCTGATCGGCCTGTAGACATTAAAAAATTGAAGTTCACTTCCACAAAAATATGAAACCAAAGTTCATACTGCCTACAAATCGTATTCGAGAACGTTTTTCCGAAAACATACCGAATCAAACCACCAAATGGGAATTCCCAACCATGCTCATGAAATTTCAAACCGACCAATACGTCACAAAAACAAAACCAAATAACCGAAACTCTCTCCTCCCCCCCCAAGAAAAGAAAAAATCATTCACCTGAAGTCTTCGTTGACGCCTTCGATTGTGATGACTGCGCACCTACATCTTCGTCATTATCGTCCGACACCTCATTCGGATCATCGTCATTCGCACCCACTTCAATCAAATTCCCTTCCTCATCGAGTTCCATTTCAACGCCCACCGCTAAAATCCATTATTACAATTATTAATAATATTATTCAAATCATAACGCGAACATTTCACTTATAATTTTCATTCTCTAAATTGTTAATTATCAAATAAGCAAATACTGAGAATTTTACTCGTTAAACGATTTTTTCAGCACAAAACGTACTACTAGTCAATGTGAAAATTGAAGCAGAACCGTAACTAACCATCAACAGCTCCCTTCCGACGTCCTTTTGAAACCTCATCAACTGCATACGGCAGTAAACGATGCTCCTTATTGAGCGCTCGAGTTAAGGCCGCTTTCACCTGAACACTTGCAAATGGATCAAACACTATATCAGACATAAAATCACCTAGACATTCATATAAAATTATGAGAAACTGGCAAATATTCTTCGAACGTCGTTTTCAACTTCTTCACGAGCAAATCAACGAGCAATCTCACAATTCAATTTTCTTTTCCAGTTAACCAATAAGAAGTAAAGCCAAACCTTTGACTGTATTTTCGCACCGGGGTCCTTCATTCCAGGCCATACAGCCAACTCAGCAATTGCTTCAGAATCTTCGCGTGTGAAATCGTACTCTTCATACATCGCAATCACATCGCTGAAACACCACTCACTCAGTTTAACATCTCTATTAATCCGTATTATAACTGTCACTATCATAAATTGTCAGTGCTGTCAATCAAGGTTAGAAATGAGTCAAGTTTCGGNAAAAGATCCCCCGAAATTTGACAATCTCCTGACAGAAGATCTCCCCGTTCCCCATTCTACTCTCTCTATTATCCTCACAATCAGCGAATATCCTCAAATCATTGTAGCACTCGTTGCGAACAGATCATCCGATGCTCGTAGATGTTCTGTGTAAAAGAAGTGCTTTTTTTCTATGACCATATCATCAGATCGTATTCGATAATCTATAGCATATAGCTACATACGACTACGTCCTATTTATTTCTATGGTCAACATCACTTCACATTAATATTTCCACGATTACTGATTAGTCTGCTCAGCTATGATAAGCGATCGATCAGGGTGTGCCCATTCAATTATTCAGCAGAGACCAGGTTTACTTCAGGCTCTCCGTGAAAACAAATAATATTTTCCTCTATCCGTATAATCAAAAACACCACCAATAAAATTTCTTAAGATCACTCATCTGCGATAATCTATTGGGGAATTCCACTCAAGTACCTCAAAATTCCCACCTTATTCCATCGTTTTCTCGCTCAACCAAAGGTCGACATAATCGATCTCTGAACACCGGAACATAATCGGTTACCATGGAATGACAATCGGCTGATATTCTGAAATTGATTCAATCAAACAACTGGATTGACAAAAATCGAACCAATCTCACAGAAGACATGAAACAAAATGGAAGTTTCCAACAAACGAAACATCTATTTCCTAACAATGAGAAACCTTCAGAAAACAATGAAAGTTAGAGTGGAACGCACTTAAGATGTGTATGCGATATCAACTGTCTCATCAGACGTTG